TTTTTGAGACGGAGTCTCGATCTGTCGCCCAGGCTGGAGTGCAGTGGTGCCATCTCGACTCACTGCAAGCTCCGCATCCCAGGTTCACTCCATTCTCCTGCTGAGTAGCTGGGACTACAGGCACCTGTCACAACACCCAGCTAATTTTTTGTGTTTTTGTTAGAGACGGGGGTTCACCATGTTAGCCAGGATGGTCTTGATCCCCTGACCTTGTGATCCGCCTGCCTCGGCCTCCCAAAGTGCTGGGATTACAGGCATGAGCCACTGCGCCCAGCCCATTCATTATCTTTTTGTAGGCACTTCCACCTCCCATTAGAAACAAAAAGATGGGCCTGTTGCGGTGGTGGCTTATGCCTGTAATCCTAGCACTTTGGGTATTCATGGTGGGTGGATCACTTGAGCTTAGGAGTTTGAGACCAATCTGGGCAACATGGCAAAACCCCATCTCTACAAAATCCAAAAAAATTAGCTGGGCGTGGTGTCACACACCTGTAGTCTCAGCTACTTAGAGGGCTGAAGCAGGAAGATCACTTGAACCTGGGAGGTTGAGGAGGCTGCAGCAAGCTGAGATCACACCACTGCACTCCAGCCTGGATAACAAAATGAGACTCTGTCTCAAAAAAAAAAACAAAAACGGAAAAGATGGGTTTGGTGTCTATGGGTATATAATTGAGCTCTCAGCCTGTCTCTTCTCATTAGCTGAACCACACTGTTGCTTTCCACAGGCCCCACATCAAGACCATCTTCCAAGGCATTGCTGCAAAAGTAGGAACTGGAGAACCCTGCTGTGACTGGGCAAGTTCTGGGCTACTCTTTAAAGCCAGTTTGCAACAGGAGCGTGTCTAAGTGATAAAGTGCGCAGAGAAAGGCCATCATGGTCTCCCAGTGGTTAGCTTGGTGACATAAACGTCTCAATCTTTGATTGCTAGCATAGCCAACGCCTAGAATGCATGCCTGCTGTTCACATCTTTGTATCTTAACTGACTGTTCATAGCCTTGAGGTTGATACTAAAAGCAGCCTTCTGTAATTCATCTAAAAGATGGATCCCTTAAAAAGGAATAGGATGAAGTGAAGTAAATTTTTTTTTTGAGCCATGTTATTTCACGGCCAAAGGAAAGAATGTCAGAATCAAAAGTGGCGTTTGCTTGCATGGGTGAAAGGAAGCGGACTGAATGTACTGTTGCCATGTCAAATGTCCTGGCCATGAATGTGGAAAATTCCCCTTCCCATACTGTGGGATTCAGGCATTCTGTGCTTGAACAAAGTCACTTGTGGACTTGCACCCTCACTGAATGCGAAGGAGGCCTAGCCTAGTTCATAGTGCAGTGGCACCATCTCGGCTCACTGCAACCTCTGCCTCCCAGGCTCAAGTGATCCTCCTACCTCAACCTCCTGAGTAGCTGGGACTGCAGGTGCCTGCCACCACGCCTTTCCAATTTTTGTATTTTTTGTAGAGATGGGGTTTCACCATGTCGCCCAGGCTGGTCTCGAACTCCTGGACTCGCAAGTCATCTGCCTGCCTTGGCCTCCCAAAGTGCTGAGGTTACAGGCATGAGCCACCATGCCCGGCCTCATGTTGCTGTTAAAGTAAACTTTATCTCATTTGTAGTCCAGCCCATGCTGTGGAAGGAAAAAAATAGGCTCAGGAGACCCGAGTGGCAATTCTGGCTTTCTGTTAACTGTGACATCAGGCAAGCCATGTCCCTTCATGGACCTCACTTTCCTTTCCCTTCATGGACCTCACTTTCCTTATCTGTAAGATACGGGGTTGGACTGCATGATCTCCAAGCTCTCTTTAGCTCCTGATTCCCTTTAATTTTATATTAGCAATTTTAATGCTAATTTTCAATTTTATTTTATATCAGATGAACGGTGAGGTTGAAACAAGGACTCCAGAGTCCAGGCCTCTAAGGAATCCAGGAAGCCTCCCTCCTGGGCCTGCCAGTGCTTGGCTTTGGCTACAGCAGCTCACCTGTCCTTACCTTTTCACCAGTGGTTGGCCATTGAGCTCAGTCAGAATCTGCTTAGGGTAGAAAGAGGCTGGTGCTGGGACTGACTTAAAGGGCTGAGTAATCTTCTCATTAGTATGAAGGATTGGAAAGGGACTTCTGTTCCCTGATAGTAGATGACCGTGGTAAAAGGCCGGGTGCAGTGGCTCATGCTTGTGATCCAGCATTTTGGGAGGCTCCCTTGAGACCAGGAGTCAAGGCTGCAGTGAGCAGTGATCATATCACTGCACTCCAGCCTCGGTAACAGAGTGAGACCCTGTCTCTTAAACAAAAACAAAAAGATCACTGCAGTAAAAGCAAGTGGTAGCAACTTCTTCTTCTTTTTTTTGAAACAGAGTCTTGCTCTGTCATCCAGGCTAGAGTGCAGTGGCGTAATCTCAGCTCACTGCAACTTCCGCCTACCAGGTTCAAGTGATTCTTATGCCTCAGCCTCCAGTATAGCTGGGATGACAGGCATGTGCCACCATGCCTGGCTAATTTTTGTATTTTTGGTAGAGATGGGGTTTCACCATGTTGCCCAGGCTGGTCTTGAACTCCTGGCTTCAAGTAATTGGCTACATCGGCCTCCCAAAGTGTTGGGATTATAGGTGTGAGCCATCACATGCAGCCTGCAATTTCTTTTTATATACACACACTTAGGACAAAGTCATGAAGAGAAGCACCGTCCTTGCTTCTACGTGTGTTGATCAAGCAGGTGCTCCTTAGTTCATGGCTGAAGTGGCAGGAAGGGTAAGGTAAAGTAAGATATTAGTAGCCATGTTACTGCATGACCAGAGTGTCAAAATCAGAAGTCAGCGGGGGCAGCAATAGAAACATGGACAAGGCCAGGCGTGGTGGCTCATGCCTGGAATCCCAGCACTGTGAGAGGCTGAGGTGGGTGGATCACCTGAGGTCAGCAGTTTGAGACCAGCCTGGCCAACATGGTGAAACCCCATCTCTACAAAAATACAAAAATTAGCCGAGTGTGGTGGTGTGC